ATGGCTGCCTGGGAGGAGGAGAATTTGAGATTTTAATTGAGATAGTAAATCCTGTCCAAGTAGGGACACTGGAGTTTTAGGTACTATGAGGAAAGAGTGACAGAAGAGGAGGTCTCCCAAGAGCAGGCCAGAGGCCACGTAAACTACTGCTCTAGGGGCTGGCTAGATTTGTCCCGAATAACTTTTGACATTGGACCAGGGACCAGGAGAAAAAAGTAAAACAGAGAGACAGGCTCAACTGTCAAGGAGGAAAATGACCTTTTGTTTTTCTGCCATTATGGCTCCTCAACATTGATGCCAAGAAGTGGACAGGAGGCTTGGACCCATCAATCCATAGGAGGAAGCACCTCACCTTCCATCTGGTGACAGGAGCAGTCAGACCTCCAGTGGTTGCCCTTGCAGAGGGCATGGTCCCAATTCGGGGCGATGCTGTCTCCTGGGCTGCCCCCCTTAAGCATTCTCTGCAGAAGTGCCCCTCCTGTCCACCACAGTAGCAAGTTCAGGATACAGGCCCCAGTCGGGTGGGGCCTTCTCTGAGAGCAGCAATGAGGCCATGGTGTCTCTAATCTTTTTCTCTCTTATTAGTAAGGTCCCGGACATACAGACTTAGCCATAAATACACACATGGCTAGCTGTATTACTTGGTTTAATGACTTTTCCCCTCAACCACAGTCTGAGTTTTTACGAATATCTGGGGCTGACTGTTAGAAATTTATCTTTGAAGAGAGCCTCTCTCACCTGTGACTCTGAGTCCACCGTGGTATGCTTTCAGATAGCGTCCTTAAGATGCTGTAGAAAGGTAAGAGGATTTTTTTCTTTTTAAGTTGTGGCTGTAAAGTAAAGTTGTCATTTTACATTGACACCTGACACTCTGGAGAGCAAGTCTCTGAAAAGTTCTGGGCCTCAGTTTCCTCACTTGAAGAATGAGGGATCTGGTCTAGGTTAAACTATGTTTTTCCATGATGAAATGGCTGAAGTGACATTAATGACACTTATCTTCTTTATCATTTTTTATTTTTTTTAGTAATACTGGGGAATTGAACCCAGGGCTTTGCACATGCTGGGCAGACATTCTCCCATTGAGCTACTTCCTCAGCCCCAAATATTAATATTATTATTATTTTTTACTTTGGCTGTACTGGGCTTGAACTCAGGGCTTTATGCTTGTAAAGTGGCACTCCACTGCTTGCCATATAATCATTTCCAACCTGAGTGGCCTGGGCCCAAACCCATTGCTTTTCTAATGAGATAAGAGTCTGGTCTAGTAGAAGCAAAATACCCTTTTATGTCAGGTGAAAGGTTTGGATCACAGAGATAAAGGCTTGAATGTATTTGGACATCAGTACAGCTGTTTAGATGTTTTTAACTTTCTCTTAGATCTGGTAACTGGTAGGAAGATTTGCCCTCTTCCTACCATTGCCTATTGGAGAGGGAAGCACTCATTAAGAGGTTCTGAGTATTGGGGTGGCTTAGAAGGTAGAAATTTGTATAGGGGACCTCAGTTTACTTTTTTACTTTTATAGAAAAGGTCTATTGTAATTAAGGAGCCCTGTGAAAGCCACTTCTCTTGGTCACCCAAGGCATACTGAGGTCAACCTCAGCACAAAGCTTCCAACATCTACCAGCCAGAAGACTGGAAGATGCAGGTCCCATCTAGAAAGAACAAAACGTTAGGATCCTGTCTTTTAGTTAACAGTAGGCAGCCTCTTTAATAAGGGCTACCTTTTTAACAAAGAAATCATTTGTAAAGTTAGAGAAGGGCATTCAGAGGGCATTTCAGGCCAATAACAGTGCCATACAGGACAATTAGTGCTAATATTTGGAAGGAAAAATTATGTTGAGGCCAAAGTTATAGAAAATTCTAAATGAGAAGTTTAGAGACCACAGTAATGTCTATTTTGTTATTTCTGGAACTATAACCTTGAGCTAACAATTGGCTTACAAGGGCTGGGTCTGATGCCCTGATGTGTGAGGTTGGGCTAGGAGCAGGACTTGTGCAAGGCGCCACTCCTTCTACACACACCTGGGACAAATGACCCTGACTGCCTAGGCCTGATCCTGCGGCCCGTTGCCCCTCCCCCCTTCCTGTGTACTCTGTACACATTTATTCTAGGGGAAGTGGCAGCAAGCCACAACCCTTGCCACATGTGGCTGGCAGCCCAGGATGTACTGGGTCCTCTCTATGGATTTTCTTAGATATGGCAGGTGCTTTTTCTGTGTCCAGGAGCCGGCATCTTGTGCACAGGTACACTTGTTTCCTTTCCCTCCTTCCCTTGTAGGGGCGGAGTTACAGTGTGAGCATGACAGCTGCAGTTTTTTGTAAGCGCTTTGGTAAAGCAGCTGATTTAAAGTTACTTTAGGCTGAGAGGCCTGACAAACTAGTTGGAATAACTTAAGGCATAAGGTACCTTGCTACAAGTTTTTCATGGGAGGCATGGTCCCAGTATGCCCAGGGAAGGGAAGGCAGACAGAGACAAAGGACATGTGGTGAGACCATGGAGGAGGCAGAAAAGGTATGCTGACATCTTAGGTAAGGGAAGGGAAAGCAGAGTCTGGAGGCATGACACACACTTAAGGGATTAGCCATCACCTGTGTCTCCAGGTTGCTCCTATTTATTGGTACTGGCAGGCTTTCAGCAAAAATGAAACCTCCACTCTCTGGTCACCAAATAAATCTGGGGCTTTGTCTCAGCCCACAGGAAGGGAGCATGAGCTCTCCCAGAGCTGGAACCGCCTTGAGGCCAGAATTGGCAAGGAGTGGCTTGCTTAACTCCATGACAGGGAAAGTTTTTCAGGAAGATATGAGGAGTTAGGTATGGTAAGCAGTGCAAGAAGTTTGTTTACCTGGGGAAGGAGGAGGTTTAGAGAGGAATTGGCTGATATAGAAATTAGTTTACAGGCTGATAAAATCTGCGCAGGGGAACAGAAAGTACAGAGGGAGGGTTTGAAGTCAGAGAGCCAGATTTAGACGGAGGTATGAAAAGGCTTGGACATAATGGAATCTCTCCCCATCGTCCCGATCACTCACAATAGTTATATGTCCCATAAATGGTTGGGATCTAAAGACCCAAAAAGGGGCCAGTGATTTTGGTTGTGTAAAGGATAAGTGAGCCAAATTTGGGTGCAAAAGTGGATCAAGTTTTTTGGTTTCATGTCTGGGGTCAAACCCAAGGTGTCCAAATTATTGAGGAGGCATCTCAATGGGAAGTCAGATGGCAGAGAAGATGTAGAGGCACCCATTATGAGGGACCCAGTCCCGGAATGGGAGGGGAGGATATTATGTACTGTGGAGCATCCCCGCACAGCACAAATATCTGAGAGAATGCAAAACGGATGAGAATCAGTCATCACTGAAATCAGGTGGTTTGCAGGGCAGAGGCTGACGACTTGGATTACCTAAGCTTAGGTTTTGTAGGTTCCCAAACCCTGTAAAATCCAAGCCCTGTGGAGAAGGGGATCCCTCTACTGTCCGAGCTGCCCAGAGATAGCCCAAAGCAGGGGAAGTGTTCTAAAACCCCAGAGACAGTGAAGGGAGGGACCGCAAAGGGAGCCCAAAAAGGGTAGGTGGACTCACCAAAGAATATTTGGTGTTGGATGTGAGCGAGGGCAATTGGAAGGATGAGTCCTGGCCAGTCACATCCTCAGGGTGGTTGTGGGGTGAGTTGGAATGGGGGTCCCACCAGGATTAGTGGGGAGCCCCCATCCAAGTCATGGCATCAAAATGTTAGAAAAGTAGGCCCCAAAAGTGACCACGTGGAGAGGAGTGATCTGGCAAAGAGATTCTTTATTGCTGGGTGGGAGAGGGAGAGTGCCAAGGGAGACAGGCATGAAGGGCAGGGGCTTAAAGGCCCTCAGTGAGACTCAGCATGATCTGATTGGTTAGGATCATGCTGATTGGAGGTTGGGGCAGAAGGAGTATTCAAACTAGACTTGAGGCAGGACCGTGACCCTGGAAAACAGAAGCTTAAGGGTGCAGTAGGAACCAAAACCCATTGGCACCATTATTGTAAACACAACCACGTTGGAAAACAATATGGAGGCTTCTCAAAAACTGAACATAGAATTAGTGTTCTTAAAATTTCCATACTACCCAAAGATGTGTCCAGATTCTATATAGGCTTTGTCAATACCCTAATATCATGTTTTACAAAATAGGAAGAAAACTTCTAAACTTTGTATGGAACTACAAAGATCTTGAATAGTCAAAGCATATTAAGAAATAAAAAAAGGCTGGCAGAGTGACTCAAGTGGTAGAGTGCCTGCCTAGGAAGCATGAAGCCCTAAATTCAAACCCCAGCACTTCCAAAAATAAAGAGAAAATAAAAAGAATTGACAAATGTGACTGCATCAACCTAAAATGTTTCTTCACAGAAAAAGGAACAGTCACTAGAGTGAAAAGAAAGCCCAGAGAAAGCGAGAAAGTCTTTGCCAGCTACACATCTGACAGGGGATTAATAAATAGATTATGAAGGGAGGTCATAAAACAAAGCACCCAAAGAATCAGCAACCTAATGAATAGATAGGCAAATGAACTGACAATTCTCAAAAGAAGTAAAATTTGTCAATACATTTACAAAGAAAGGCTCAACATCCCTCACCATAATGGAAATATAAATCAAAACAACATTAAGATTTCACCTCACTCCACTGAGTCAGAATGGCTATCATCAATAATGCAAAAAACAGATGCTAGTTAATTTGAACGGGAAACAGGATCCAGATACACTGTCGGTGAAAATGCAAATTAGTACAATCATGATGGAAAGTAGTACTGAGGTTCCTCAAAAAACTAAAAATAAAATTACCATATGATACAGTGATACCATTCTTCAGCATATAAAATCTGATGAATGGATTAAGAAAATGTGGTATAAATTAGGGCCAGGATGAAGAGCTGGCTGTGGTTGATGGACCATCTGATACAGAGTTGGGTGGGGTAGAGAGTAGGAGGTGGTAGTCAGGGGTGGTTGGAGAAGGAGGAGGCAGTGAATCAGTTATAAATGGTGCCCAAGCAGAACCCAAAGCCTAAATTCCAGGAGGGTGAACGAGTGCTGTGCTTTCATGGACCTCTTCTTTATGAAGCAAAGTGTGTCAAGGTTTCCATAAAAGATAAACAAATGAAATACTTTATACATTAGAGTGGTTGGAATAAAAATTGGGATGAATGTGTTCCAGAGAGCAGAGTACTCAAATACATGGACACCAATCTGCAGAAGCAGCGAGATCTTCAAAAGGCCAATCAAGAGCAATATGCAGAGTGGAAAATGAGAGGGGCTGCTCCAGGAAGGAAGATGTCTGGCCTGCAACAGAAAAGTGTTGAAGTGAAAACAAAAAAGAACAAACAGAAAACACCTGGAAATGGTGATGGTGGCAGTACCAGCAAGACACCTCAGCCTCCTCAAAAGAAAAGGGCCGGGGTAGATCCAACTGTTGAAAATGAAGAAACATTTATGAACAGAGTTGAAGTTAAAGTAAAGATTCCTGAAGAGCTAAAACCATGGCTTGTTGATGACTGGGACTTAATTACCTGACAAAAACAGCTCTTTTATCTTCCTGCCAAGAAAAATGTGGATTCCATTCTAGAGGATTATGCAAATTACAAGAAATCTCTAGGAAACACCTATAATAAGGAGTATGCTGTCAATGAAGTTGTGGCCAGGATCAAAGTGTACTTCAATGTAATGCTGGGCACTCAGCTGCTCTACAAATTTGAGAGACCAGAGTACACTGAAATTCTCGCTGATCACCAGGATACACCCATGTCCAAGGTGTATAGAGCACCACATCTACTGAGATTATTTGTACTAATTGGAGCAATGTTGGCCTACACAACTGGATGAGAAGAGCCTTGCTTTATTACTGAATTATCTTCATGATTTCCTCAAGTATCTAGCGAAGAATTCTGTAACTTTTTTCAGTGCCAGCGAGTAGGAAGTGCCTCCTCCAGAGTACCATCAGAAAGCTGTGTGAGAGCACTCTCACTTATATTTGGATATCTGTAAACAGAGTTTGTTCTTAGTCCTTCTCTTGTACAAATGATGTACTTTGAAGATGTTAGTGTATAACAGAACTGGTGTTTGTTTTGTTTTGATTTTAAACAGAAATAAAAGGGGTTCACTGCTCCTTTTCTTCTTTTCTTATTTTTCATTTCAAAGTTGCTACCAGTGTATTCATTGGTGGACAACAGAGCGAAACATGCTGTGGAGTGTTTTATTGCCTAGTTGACAAAGCTGCTTTTGCATGCTGGTGGTTCTATTCCTTTGACACTACACACTTTTATAATATGTGTTAATGCTATATGACAAAATGCTGATTCCTAGTGCCAAAGGTTCAATTCAGTGTATATAACTGAACACACTCACCCATTTGTTCTCTTTTTTCTTTTTTTAATGGTGCTTGAAAGTAAAGAGCCCATCCTTTGCAAGTCATCCGTGTTGTTCCTTAGGCATTTTATCTTGCTCGAATTGTTGAAGAATGGTGGCTTGTTTCATAGTTTTTGTATTTGTGTCTAACGCATGTCTTAACATAATTGATGCAATGTATTATGCAGCTGTTATTTTCTGGAAAAGTCAATCTTTTAGGAATTTTTTTCAGATCTTCAATAAAATTTTTCTTTAAATTTCAGAAAAAAAGAAAATGTAGTGTATATATTCAATGGAATATTAGTAACCCATAAAGAAGAATGAAAATTTTTTTGTAGGTAAATGAATGGAGCTGGTGATAATAATGTTAAGAGGATAATAATGTTTGATATTCTGCCAGTTCCAGAATATCAAAGGTCACAAGTTTTCCATAATATGTGGAAGTCAGACTTAAAATATAAATGCATAAATAAATATTACATATAAATATGTAAATATGTTTATTATATGTATATATATATATATAATATATATATATATATATATACAGAGAGAGAGAGAGAGAACTTATTTGTAATATTGGGCTGTTTGAGGGGATTAGAGGAAAGAGGGAGAGTATGTTATAGTATACATTGCATCTGTTCATTTGAAGATAACATAACAAAACACTAAAAGCTGTTGAATAATAGATGGCAGGGGTATAGAGAAAGAGAATAATAGAGAGAGTTAATCTGATTAAAGCGCAATTTATTAACATTTAAAAGAACACAGTGAATCAACTTCAAGTAACTAATATACTCTTGAAATTATGGACAGTGAAACAGGTCCTGATCTGGGATGAGTACCAGATGGGTGATGATAAAAGTCACTTGCTTAGTCAAGACCCCAAGCTGGAATGCAGAGCCCAGCAAAATATAAATACTTTAGAATAGACCTTTGAGAACATTTGCTTTAACTGGTTTATTTTCTGGATAACTATGTAAGTTCTTTGATGGTCACCTATTCCTCTGCCATGTGATCATCTAGACAGTTTGTAAGTACACTAAAGTGACTTACTTGTATTTCTTGACATAATTAAACCTCTTTTTCAAAGTAACTTCCATCCCCATTTTTTTAGTGAGACTGCACTTTGAACTCAGAGCTTTCAAAGCAGGTGCTCTGCCACTTAAGCCACACCTCCAGTCCATTTTGCTCTAGTTATTTTGGAGATGGGGGAGTCTCTCTAATTATTTGCCAGGGCTGGCCTTAAACCACAATCTTGCTGATCTCAGCCTCCAAAGTAAATATGATTACAGGCAGGAGCCACCGTCTCCCAGCTTCAAAGTCATTTTCTATCTGAAGAAGAAATCAAGACAATTTGAGGTGAATGATTCTTATACTGAACACTACAGAACATTAATTAAAGAACTGAATACACCAATAAATAGAAAGATATCCTAAGTTCATGGATTGGAAGAAATGATATTGTTAAAATGGCCATAAAATCCAAACTGGTCTATAGGTTCAATGCAAATCTTTTAAAAATTACAATATTATATCTTACAAATATTAAAAAATTTCTAAAATGTTTACGAAACCACAAGGATAGAAAATAGATAAGAGATCTTGAGAAAAAGAATAAAGTTACATAACTTCAAAATATGATAAAAAGGTGCAACAACCAAAAGAGCATACCACTACCATAAAAACAGATACATAGACCAATAGAAGAGAATCTGGAGACCAGATTTTCGACAAAATTGTCAAGATCATATATTGAAAAACGACAGTCTTCATTGAATTGCTTTAGGAAAATCATTACATATAGTAAGAATGAAATGAGAAGCTTATTTCTCATAATATACACAATCAAATCAAAAGGGATTCCAGACTTAAGAATAAGAACTGAAAACACTTGAAGAAAACACAGACAAAATGTTACAGAATAGTGGCATAGTCCAGGATTTGGGAGGATATGACCTGAAAAGCACAGGCATAAAATAGAGAAATGTGAGTGCATCAAATGAAAAGACTCTGGACTCAAAGGAAATAAATCAACAGAGTGAGAAGACAATCTACAAAATAGGAGAAAATATTTACAAACCACCCTGCTGACAAGGGGTTGATATCCACCATAAATGTAAGTTCCAAAAAATGTTTAGTGTAAAAAGACATAACCAGATTTAAAATGGGGAATGGACCTAAGTAGACACTTCTAAAAATAAGACTATTAAACGGCCAGCAAGTGCATGAAAAACTGTTTAATATCACTAATCATTACAGAAGTGCAAATCAATACAACGAGATATCACTTCAGCTCAATAAGAATGGGAGTTATCAAAAAAAGTAAAGATAACAAGTACTGGTGAAGATGTGGGGAGAAGGGAAGCCTTGTGCAATGTTGGTAGAAATATAAATTACTACATCCACTATGGAAAACAATGTGGTGATTTCTCAAAAATTAAAAGTAAAACTAACATATGATGTGGAAATTCTTCTACTGGATATAAATCCAAAAGAAATAAAAATAGGATTTTGAAGAGACTTCTACACTCCGATGTTCATTACAACGCTATTCTCAATAGCCAAGAAATGGAATAGATCTGTGTCCACCAACTGCTAAATGAATAAAAATGTGAAACATATAAACAAAGGAATGCTTTCCAGCCATTTAAAAAGAAGGAAATATTGTCATTTATAGTAACTTGAATGGAACAACAGATCATTATGCTAAGTAAAATGAACCAGGAACAGAAAGAAAGGTCCCACATTATGTCACACATCTGGAAAATCTAGAGAAATTGCTCTCATTGACATTGAGAGATGAATGATAGTTAACAGAACCAGAGGAGAGTTGGGCAGAGAGAGAGAGAGAGAGAGAGGGAGGGAGAGAAAGAAAGAGAAAGAGAGAGAGATTGACTGAAAGTTTTATATGAGCAAGAACTTCTGGTGTGTTGTTGCACAGGAGGATGTCTATAGAATAAAAATAGTGTACTGTTTATTTCAAAATGCTAAAAGAAAGGAATGTGAAGATTTTCACTATAAAAATAATAAATGTTGGGCTACCACTTGGCTCAAGTGGTAGAGCCTTTGTCAAGCAATTGTGAGGCACTCTATTCAACACTTAGTACCTCCAAACATAAAGAATGAAGAAAAAGAAATGATAAATTTTGACGTAAATTTGTTTGACCCAATTTAAATGTTACCAAATACATACATTGTGTAGAAAATTCAAACCACCCAGTCAATATGTACAATTTTTCTACCTTTATGTATAGTTAAAGTTCACAACATGTAAACAATGAACAGAGTTAAAAAAACCTAAAGAATAGGAGAATATATCAGGTCATGGTAGTACATACCTATAATCCAGGAACTCCAGGGCAGAGGCAGGAAGATCATGAGTTTGAGGCCAACAGGGCTACATAAGGACTCTGAAGAAAGCCTGTGCTGCCTAGAGAAACTCTGACTTAAAAAAAAAACACAGTGAGATAAATATTTGCAAGTCATAAACCAGAAAGGGGGCTAATAATATTCAAAATATACAATAACTGAAACTATTAAATAACAAAAAGTAAATAAAAACGTATTTTAACATGTTTGCCTGTTTTAACAGGCAAAGGACCTGAAATGACATTTTTCAAATGACTATACAAATGACCAACAAATACACGGAGATTGCTTAATATCATTAATGATTAATGATTGCTTCTAATCATTAGAGAAATGTACAAAAGCACAATGAGACATCACCTTTGTATAGCTATATTGAAAAACAGCATAGATATTCTTATAAAAATCATATGTATACAAATTTTAAAATGAGACCTGTTGAAATTATTCCAGGAATAAAGTAGGGGGGCATAAAGGAGAATGAAAGAGGGTCTGAATTCAACTATGATGTATTTGATATATTGTAAGAACTTTTATAAATGTGACAATATTTCCCTCTCAGCACAACAATAATGAAAAAATAACACTCTTATTACCAAGTAATCCAGCAATCCTACTATTGCATTTTTACATTGATGAACTGAAATTAGGGAGATGTCAGGACTCCCAAATTCACTGTATTATTATTCCATATATCCAACATATGGAAATAATGTAAGTGCCCATCAACAGATGAATGGATCATAAAATGTGATATATTTACATAATGGAGTATTATTTAGCCTTATAAAAACAAAAAAATTGTCTTTTGCAACAACATGGATGAAGCTAGATTACATAATATTAAAAGAAATAATTGAGGCACAGAAACACAAATAATGTCATCTCAACTATATGTGAATTCTAAAAATGTTCAATTAATAGAAGTAAAGTATTGTGTTACCAGAGGCTGGGAAGATTAGAGGGGAGAGAAGTTACAGAGATGAGTTTTTTAAGGTTGCAAAAGTACAATTAGACTGCAAGATTAAGTTCTAGTATTCTAGAACTTATTATAGAATAATAAGTAATGTGATTATAGATAACAATAATTAATTATATTCTATAATTATTATTATAGAATAATAAGTAATGTGATTATAGATAACAATAATTAATTGGATATGTCAAAATTGCTGGAAAGAGAATTCTGAGTGTACTCTTATTACAAATAAATTATACTTGTTAGAAATAATAGGA